ACTAAGACATTGATTTCACCATAATTAATCAATATAAATTATGGATTAATATGCTAATTTGTTGAGTGTTATTATATGTGATAGCGGATTTTCCTAAATTAATTAACTAGCTTTCTCATTCACTTATTTGTTAAATTAATTATATCTCTATATAATTTTAAACAATCTAATGAGTATTAAATTCTATAGAAACCATTAACTTAAGAAGAGGGAGCTCCTAACTCTCTTTTCTTTCTCCATTACCACATGTGAGTTAATTACCTCTTGGTCTCATAGTCTGGCACACGGTTTGTATTATTGTTGGTTTAATTTACACAATTCTTTCTCAAGTTCATGCATAAATCACTAAATCAATTGAAATATGATTAGGCTTCCAGTGCATTAAGTTCAATAATATAAACTCCTCATGCAAATAATTTTAATTGAAGGCATAAAATCATAAAATCTATACTGAATTTATTAGGCTTCATCGTAGCCCTAATAGAATAAATTAGTTCATAATAAAAATAATAAAATCTAAAATTATATTTATGAATATAAGAATAACAAGGAAGAATAAAACACAATTTGAGAAAATTGCAATATTTGATCTCCTATTGTTGAATCCTCTCTTGATATTCAAGAATGCCCAAAAGAGGGTTGCTACTAGGCTCCACCAAGCTCCCTTAATTCTAAATTTGGATGGGTATTTATAAGGTTTTAGAAACCTTAATTAGAATAAAAGTAGAATTTGAAACAAAATAGGAAACTTGAATGTTGGACGCTGAACGTATGGTGCTGATACACAAGATTACGTGTCGACACAAAAAAGGAAACAAAAAGTTTGATTTTAAACGATTAGCGCATGGTGTCGACTCCCCCATTATATGTCGACACTACACTCGTGTCGAGTTTCTGGACTCATTTTGCAATTTCTTCAATGGTAAAATGGCAGATCTGTCCTCCAGCTTTTGTACAATGAGTAGTTAGATCCCAAACTCAAGATTCATTCATTAAGGTTCCAAAGAATCACCCTTCTTCTTGCAATTCAGTCCCTCAATTTTCAAAAGATGTTCAATTAATCCCCCAAACTCTTTTTTTATGCATTCAAGTCTTTTTCTACACAAAGAATGAAAATCATGTAAAATCTCATAAAATTCATCTAAATATCAATAATATTAAAAAAAAAATTTCCATGTTAATATCTATATAAATTTAGCTCATCAAACTTAATCAAATAGTCATGTCTATTTGAGTATGCGCACCAAAAGACACTATGGCTTCTATAAAAGAGGAGGTTCAAAACACTTTTAAATACAATTTACTTATTTTGTCATTCTTTCCTATTCATTTTTGAAAAGATTTTGGTTCCTTCTGTCGTATCTTTGA